GATGTATACAATAGGCTTCATTTGAAGAGAGATGTTTATGGGTTGTCTTTTTGTGTGGCTTTTAACTTGATGTGCTGTCCTTCATGCTGCACAGATCAAGGTGAAGTAACAATCGTTCCTCTCTCCTCCCATATTGACGTGCTGTCGTTCTGCGCCCGTTTCATTTGTCAACGACTGATTGCGCAGTTCTTCAAATCTTGGGTGACAATAGAGGCCGCTCTGGAAGTGCAGATTGCTTCCAATTTGCTGCCGAATCGAACACCAAGTGTACTCCAAGTACCGTCCACATAATGACGCCAAAGCAGCTACGTAGCATCATCAGTCATGAAGAGAGCAGTGGCTCATTGAGGCCGGAGCACTCCATCTTATACTAATCATGGGCAAAAACACTTTATTGATCTTGGCCTGAAAGGGTCAGAGGGCAAGTTCAGGCTGCAGGAGCTGAACTGGTTCAGGCTGGTTGTAGCAGGTCGGGTCGGGACGTCGGAATGAAACCAACGTCAACTGATGAAAAGATCAGATCTATGTCAACACCTTCCAATAGGAAATCAACAGCAAATGATCATTTAGTATTCCCTACTGCTTTGTTAGGAAGCATATTGCATTGACATTGGAGAACAAAAATCAGCTCAACGGTGGAGGAGGGGTGTTGTCTTGAAATATTTTTTTTACAGTTGGGTACGTGTGTCGTCTTCTTCATTATTTACGACAAGGTGTGTTGTCTTTTTAAAGTTTTTCCTTAAAACACAGTGGACATCTGGACATTTTAGCTGTTATATTAAAGGAAGCATGTGCAACATTTTTATCCAGCAGATGTCGCCCTTGAGCACAAAGCATGAAACCAACACAAAATTCTGTTTAACAGCAACCTCTGCTGTACCAAAGCCTCCACACTCTCTTGCGACGCCTCCAAACCCGCTCCCATCGCATTTGCTCGAAGGAGTCAAGCGCAAGTGGTGGAAAAAAAATGGATTAAAAAAAAAAAAAAAAGATGGGAGGGAGACAAAGGAATGGAGATGTTATGGTGAAGGACTTCAGTAATTTGCCAGTTACAAAGACAAGCGACAGAGAGAAAACATGACAGCGTTATGTGGAAAAGGTGCATAATGTCCCCATTTCTGTGTGGAATAATTAAAAAAAGCCACTGGACAAAAAAAAGATGATTGCACCTGGCAGAGATGAAAAAAGTCCATACCATGTAAAAACATCAAAGAGGAGGAAGTCTGGAGAAATGACTGCTTTTATACAGCAAAGTGTGGGATGAGGGACGAATGCCAGGGAGCTGGGAAGCTGGAAAAAGGTGATAATAAGTTCAATATTAAAGGTAATAAGGCGATAATATGGCGACGCATATGGAAATTACATACCAATTTCTTTAAGGTCCCACGTCTGTCAAATAACTGAATGTTTGATAAATGAGAGGTTAATTCTTCTTGAGAGGGGGGGGGAGGGATGGTGGTAACAAAGTGAAATCAGAACAGAAATGATTGGCCTGTCATGGATAAATTGTTGTGGATAAAAAAGTAAAGTTCAAACAGTTATGCACGGAGAAAATTGGCTTCTAACTAAACTGCACTTCACAGGAATCAGAGTAAAAATGAGAGTTGGGTTGTGGACTTCATGAATGGAAGAACTATTCAGGTATAGATAATGTTGAAGTTATCAACATTGTAGAAAGATATTGGCCTCACAGAAGACTTGGTTTATGTAGCTATGTGGAAAAAGTGACAATAAATAAAAGGATGTGTCATGAAGGATTGGAGTTGAGAGCAGATTTTGTATCTCTAGTCTGGATATCTTTGGCCTTTAACAGATCTTAAGAAGTATCATATGACTCACACGCAAAGGCCTGGATATTGTGCAAGCTCAGGCTCCTAAAAGAGCGGGTTAGAAAGCAGTTCCTCTGAAGTGTTTGCACTCCATGTTGAAGCAGGTGAAATGCCATTACGGTTACGTCTGTTACAGATTGTGGCCAATTACTGGGTCAACATTTGGGGGATTGGTCATAGCCATCCAACAAAAAAGCACTTGGTGGGGGAAAAAGGAGAGAGTTGGCTGGATAGGAGATGAAATTGAGAAGAAAATTACAGTGTATTTTTTTTTTTTTTGCAATGGTGGTGTGGCCTGTAAGACCTGTGCATCGATCCAGAGTTTTTAAATATTAAGCACTGTGATAAGAATGCAGATTTAACAAGGGAGCATTGTGGTAATAGGGTGCATACAGTTACAGTGTATAGATTTTACAAGAAATCTGCAACGAAAGCTGTCAATGTAAGTATTTTTTTCATGAAAATTAAATTTTTAACAATCAGAGGGAAAAGGCATATTATGGGGGACAAAAACTCAAGGCGCTGCCGTGTCCAGACGCCGTCCGGGTTGCTCCGCTGAGGCTGTGTGTTTTTTTTTCTTCAGTTATGTTGTTTTTGTGATATTCTATTTTACTGTATTTATGTGTATTAGCAAATTTGAGTGTTTATTGCATGGCCTTGCGGAACAGTCTTTACATTTCACTGCACATCTGTAAGAGCATGTGACAAATAAAAATCTTGAAAACAGCACTGCAAAGAGCAAGTACCACTAAACAGGCTGACAATACAAAGGCAAAAGACCTTAACTCGCCAGAGTGTAGAACTGAGAAAAATGACTTTAAAGTCTTTTTGTTGTCCAGCCAAATGAGTTGCAGGCAGAATATTGGAAATGTGGCAATTCTTTGTTTTTTACTGAGGTTGTTAATGTTCATAAAAATCTTTAGCTCAAACATGACCTTTGACCCTTATTTGGAAGTTAAAATAACACAACCAACACTGTCGTTGGTTGACGGCCTGCCAGAACAACCCCACCACCTCTTCCTGCATCTTATCCCATCTCTCCCTCTATCTCTTTCCAACCCCGGCGCAGTCTCGGCCTGTGAAGGCTGTTTCGTCATGAGCCGGGGATCCAGCCGAAGATTTCTGACTTTTAAAAAGGCAGTTTTTTCTTACCACTGTAACTTTTGCTGCTTTGCTAAAGTGCTCATGATGGATAGGCCGGGTCTTTGTAATATAGCAATAAGTAAGGTCTTTTACCAGCTTTTTGTAACATAACAATGAGTAAGGTCTTTTTACCTGCTCTTTTGTAATGTTAACAGACAAAGAGTAATGTATTTTACCTGCTTTCTGTAAAGTGTCTTGAGATAACACTTGTTATGAGTTGACGCTATACAAAATAAATTTAATTGAAATTGAAAATTGAATATTTCTTTGCTACACTTTAGTCAAGCTACTGTGTGTGTGTCAGAAGTGCTTGATGACAGATATTAAAACAAAGACATAACACCTTAACTCCACTGCAGTAAAACAGTAACTTCACTTTGATCCGCAGCAAAACAAAGGCAAAGACCCTGATGAGTGAAGTTACTCTGCTTTGGTTTCTCCGGGGCTTTTGGAAGTTAAGGAAAATACAACCTACTATTTTCTCAAAAAAACCCAGCACAATTAACTCAAGATATCTGTCCACATAATAAAGCACATCTGTTTGCCTTTGTAGGGCAGAATATGTCTCTACAACAGTACAGCCTAAATAGTGTGAGGCTGTGACATTAAGCATATCTCTTTCAGTTAAATCAAATTTACACGAGATGAAAGCAGATATAGACAACATGTTTTTTTTATTGAAAGTTATAAAATAAGAGTTATTGCAATGAATAGAGTATACTATACTTTGCAATATCTGCTTTTTAAACATTGCTGTACATATATAAACAACACAACTTCAGAAGGTCAACACTTTTTTACTTTTTTTATATTCAGATCTAATTACAGATTTTTTCCCTCAACTGTTTAAGGTTCTTGTTTTAAATCTCACATATTTTTTATCCCTGTCTACATGTCTACATGTCTAAGTCTATTTTTCATTGCACAGTTTAATTTTGATTCATCTAGGGTATTCTTTAAATCTTTTTTTCAGGTTAATATATATGTATGGGGGGGGTTGGTTATGTGGTTTAATTTGTAGCAAATGTTTCATGTCATGTACGTCTTTGTAACCTGCTACTGGACGCTTTGAATTTCCCTCGGGTTCAGTAAAGTATCTATCTGTCTATCTGTCTATCTATATGTCTGTCTGTCTATCTGTCTGTCTATCTGTCTGTCTATCTGTCTATCTATGTATCTATCTGTCTATCTGTCTATCTATCTGTCTATCTGTCTGTCTATGTATCTATCTGTCTATCTGTCTATCTATGTATCTGTCTATCTATCTGTCTATCTATCGATCTGTCTGTCTATCTGTCTATGTATCTATCTGTCTATGTATCTATCTGTCTATCTGTCTATCTATCTATGTATCTATCTATCGAGCTAAGCTGCAAAAAGGACAGATTTAAAAATACTTTTTTACCTTCTGCAATTGCACTTTATAACGACTCCCCTTTAAGTAAGGACAGAAGACATTTAAACTTTTAAACTTAAGCCTGAGTTGCATATATCATACATCAAACTGTATTGTGGGCTCATGTTTTTTTTGTATGGGTGGGATATGTATGTATATATGTGTTGTGTTGTGTGTTTGTATGTATGCTGACTGCTGGAACACCTACATTTCCCTGCTGGGATGAATAAAGCATATCTTATCTTATATATATATACATACATACATAAAAAAACAGTGCAAAACATTTCACTCTAACAATCAATCCTGTTGGTTCGCTCTTTTGCTGGACTCTTTGTGGCTGTGCAGCGATCTTCTTTGACCTCCATGCTCTGGATCTGCAGTTTCTGGAGGGATTCAGGGATGTGGTGGTGGTGTATATATATATATATATATATATATCTGTCTATCTATCTATATGTTTATATATATATATATCTATCTATCTATCTATATTTATATATATATATTTATCCATCTGTCTATCTGTCTATATATATAGAGAGATATATATACAGTATGAGGGACAACACAACCTGAAGGTGGCGGTAATGCAGCATTGCTTGTGTGTACTGCAGTAAAATCCCAGAAGAAGAACATCGGAAACTCTTCTTCTTGTAGAAAGGCGGATCCCTCTCGACCACTTCACCTCTCACAACTTCTCTTCGGGCTAGTTTTTTTTTTTTTAACACTCCATTCAAATTCACAAATCCAGCCCCAACAAAAAAAAACAAAAAAACCCCACCCAGCCTTCCTCTCTTCATTCAAGACGACGTCGTGTTGAGTGGAAGTCCCGAGTGACTGAACTCAACCTGCTAACTTTTAACACCGGAGCTAAACCGACCTGCAGCACCTGAGCTAACACAGGGGGGGAAAAAATGTCCGATACTGATTTGATATGGGCGTTGCAGACTGGAGACCTGGAAGAGGTCAAAACCAAGCTGGTAACGGTAAGGAAAATGTTGTTTATTTGCAGCTGTGTGCATCGATTTGAAGCAATAATCCGGCTGCTTGGCTCAAAGGTAGATAAGCTACTAGCCTAGCCGGGCGAGCTAACGGTAACTGGAGTTGGGCAATGTTACAGTTTGACAACAATTGCGAGATATTGGAGCTTGTTTTTGTACATGTAACACTCAGTTATGTTTAATTAACGAGCTTTAACTCGGATTGAATTCACCACGAGTCATTTAAAAGGTTTTAAAGGAGTGCTTACTGTGCAGGCTAATGCAGCACAGCTAGGTAGCCGCATGCTGCTTTTATTATTATTCAGGGTGTTTGTGTGTTTGTGTTTTTGTGTTCTCACCGCATGTCAGTCTGATTTAGGATAGGAAACTTGAAGGTGATGGGGTTGGCTTTGGTTCAGGAACATGTTGGAGTCGATTAGGAAGCGATTTCGTGTCCTCTGTCCACAGGAAGCAACCTGTTGGTAAAGGTAGACACCGAGCTACCACCAGCTGTCAATCACCTGCACGTCACTCAAGCTTTTAATGTTTCCACTTCATGCTTTATTGATTATTTATTTCAGATGTTGGTTAAAAAAAAAAGGCCCTTTCTTAGCCTGCTGTGGAACAAGTTTAGCTATATGTTTTGGAGATAAAGCACCAGGCCTGCAGCAAACATTCAATTCAAAAAAACTTTATTAGTCCCCAATTCAAAGGCACACACAGCAGTAAGGATAGGATAATACTTTATTGAGCCCCATGTTAGTATTCATACAGCTCTGGTTGTTTATTCCTGATGTTTCTTATCCATCATTGCACAGACACGAAGCTCAAAAATACACATTAAACAGAATATATGAGGTAAATACAAATAAAAACAAGGGGTGTATACAAGTACAAAACGAATGATTAAGTTAACCGGGGGGATTGAGATTTAGTATTTGCAGAGAATGACACGATAAAGTGACTTGGTATGATAAATTAACACCAGTGGAAGTACGAAACATGTTAACCTAAATATAAAGTGTCAGTTTAAATACAACTTAAAGCTTGAACTTAACTTAAAAATACAAAATAAAAAGAGTAGATATGAGTGGACAGTGATCGGACTATCAGATGTAAACGAGAAATAAATAAACTTCATATATATATACTGTTCTGTACCTTATGCCTACACTGTGTGTATGTACTGTATAGTGTGTAGGCATTTATATGGCGCATATGGACTTGAGTTTATATAGCGCTTTTCTAGTCTTCCAACCTCATTGAAATGTACTTTGTTGTAACTTTTGTACACATAGGGGCGTCCATGGGTATAGATGTGAGACACCACATGTCACACCACCACATGTCACACCACCACATGTCACACCCACCCACCCACACTGATGGTAGTGATGATCGCTATGTAGTATCATCCATCAGACGTAACTAATCCCATTCATACACCACCACCGAAGCAGCGGGGGCAATTTGGGGTTCTTGCCCAAGGACACATCGGACATGTTGCTCAGCTGGGGATCAAACCCTCGACCTTCCCGGTTCCGCCCATGCATATGTGTGCATGGGTGTACACAGCTCTACCTTTACATGTATGTTATTGCAGAGATTTTTCTTTCTTTCTTTTTTCTTTTTTTCTCTCTTCAGATTTTTTCTGATTGTGTAATATTGTTCTGGATGGTGGGTGGCTAGGCTTGGGGGAGCATTAAGTGTGTGTTTGTGGTGTGGGTGTCTCTGTGTTTAAATGTTTGGTATTATGTTTTGGATTTACCTTTTATTTTTATTTTGTATTATGATGATTAATTTATGTTTTGTAAGGACCCCCTTGAAAATGAGAGCTGGAGACGCGGCTATAGCAAATCCCCAGATACCCTCCATGCTAGCCATAATAACCTTTTTTGGAAAAGGCTGGAAGTGTGTTTGCTTAAACTCCTAAGTGCCTGTTATGCCACTCTGTATTTCCCAACATAGCTTAAAAGTTCCCCCTTTTTTTCTATAGAGAAGCTTTTGTTTACACCTCTGCTGAAAAGCCATTGGGGTCAACAAGGAAGTGAGTTATCGTATCAAAAACTATGACCATCGGAGTTCTCTCAACTTTATGTTTCCAAATACACAAAGACACTCAGGATCCTGTTTGTGTATGTGTGTGTATATTTCAGCCTGTGTGTGTGTGTTCATGACTTACAGAGTGTAGAAACTGAAATCTCCCCTTGCAGGGATCAATAAAAGTAAATCTTAATCTTAAAGCAGGAGTCACAATTTCCGGCCAGCTCCCTGGTCAATTTTTGGGGTGAAGTCGGGGTAATGTGAGAAAGCAGCAGGAAAAATTCAGGAAAACTTACAAGCAAGCCAGGGTAAAGTCGTGACCAGTGCAATCTCAGTGAGCGTAATAAACAGCTTTAAAGTGTTTCCTTATGTTCTCCTCCGCTCTCTCGTGATATACCGCAAATATGTCTGACTACAAGTAGCATTGATATTAAGGCAGAAATTGTCATTATAGCATCAAACTCTGTTGCTATGTCAGGCATTATCTTGTTGTTCTTTTATGTCATGACCTGCCTTTTGAGAAGACCCCCACCCCCCATACCACCCCACTGTCAAGTGCATTTTTGAACTAGCAACTCATAAAGAGGGGGTGGTTCTGCTTTATTGTCCTATGCTGATGACATCCCTGAGCATACATTGAATTACAGATATCTTATCTTGTGCTAATATGAAATATTGTAATAGACATTATCTTTTTGTTGTGCTAGTTTACTTTTCCTCTTTTATATTTACCTCCCAGCTTTATTGCGTTTGCTGTAGTTGCCTCAGGGGAGCCAGACAGCCAAGGTAGCTCTGCCATCCCCAGATCAGGTCTTTAGTAACTAGATTCTCCTTTTATTTAACAACAGTGTTTCAACAAATTCTATAACAATAATTCAGTTTTGACCGCCAATTTTTGGAGTGAATAACAGCTTCTGTTCTCACTTTCCTTAACCATGAAGTGTCAGAAAAGACTTAACTGGGTGCTACAGCTGTGGTTGATTTGAAGGTTTTCTCACCAGAAGGGCCCCTAAGCACATCCTCAGACGTGCGTGTGTGGTTAGGGAACTTAGGACTGTGGTGAGTGTCTGTTATTTTTGGCTGCAAAGTTTCAGTCTGTGACTCTTAGGGTAGAACAGAAGCTTCCGTTTTAAAGAAAAGCTGCCCTCAGCTCCTCCTTTTTAAGGCAGATTATTGGTTTGTGACAGCAATGTCGTTATTTATTTCAGCGCCGCTAACATGCCATCTTTTTTCCTCTGCAGGCTGAAGATGTAAACCGGACCCTGAACGGTGGTAGGAAGCCCCTGCACTACGCTGCAGACTACAATCAGACAGAAGTGGTGTTGTTCCTCCTTTCTAAGGGAGCAGATATCAATGTAAGAGTCGCAACATCCAGCTCCTATCACAATCTCTTTGCATTCATTTGCCTACTGGCTTTAAATGACCATAAAGTAAAACAGTGCCTGTATGTGCTTCCTTTTCCTCGTCAAATGTTATTGTTTAAACTGCTTGATTTGATTCCTATTTATGTTATCAGTTTTTGCATTTCAGTGTTTTCATTGGGCCCCATGTGCAGCGCTGACATTGGCATTGTTTGAACTGAAGTACTATGGCTGTTCTAACCAGTTTATTATGAGCTATTTCAGCCGTTGTCCTTTCTCTCATTCAACAATTGTCTCAGCTTGCCAGACCACACATTAAGCCTGATTGGCCCCCTGAGCTTCAATAGTCTCTTCTGATGTTGTTGTACTGGATTGATCCATATCCACTTAAAGGGCACTTAGCCACCCAACTGTATTGACATCTGTAATTCGGCTGAAGCTCTTTTGTAATTTGCAGCTTTTTTTATTTATTTTTATTTTTTAAAGGTCTCCCACATCTACTGTGTCATCAGTTGAATTTTATGTGAAAAGCAGTGTTGATCTTTGAACCTGGGCACAAGTAGAACCAAAGCAGGAAGCCAATCTCTGTGAAAACTGAGCTTGAAAAATAATTTACATATCAACATGCAAGATCTTGATGGTTGATTTCATTTCGTCAAAAATAGAGACGGGTGCATGCTGTTAAGGCACCCACACATAAGCAATGTGCCGTTCATCTCCTTGACTAATTGAGCTCACAACAACTTTTCATCATAGCATCGTGGTGTTTTCTTTTTCGTCTTTTCTCATGCCTTTTTTCCGACCGTTCCCCCCTACAGGCTACAGACAGGCACGGGTTCACTCCATTGCTCTGCGCCTGTTACGAGAGTAACGTCGCCTGTGTCAAGGTCCTGCTAGAAAAGGTTAGTACTTTGCATCTACATCTGTACACAGAGGTGGCCTCTTGTTCTTCAGCAACCAGTGCATGCTGATGTGTCAGAGCCTGTGCTGATGAGGTAACTCACCGGACAAAAGGACCTTTAACGCAGCCCCGTGTGTGCCGTGCTGGAATGTTCATGGAGCACATCACTCAGTGTTGCAGCTGTTCTCTTGTTTTGTGTCTGTGTTATTGAGCAGTTTCATTCACACATGCCTAGGCCTTTCCTCCATCTATATCTGCACCATCCTTCACCCTGTCCTCCCTCAGTTGTTTAGCTCTCGTCCCATTTGAATGCTACCTCGGTCAGACAGATAGATGTGGACGTCTGCACACAGAGTCACAGCTGAGACGGGAGAGACAACATAGAGGCAGACACAGCTGTTACACACTGAAAAAGTGCAGCTGAATAACAAGCTTTCTATAAATGAATGTCCAATCAAACCAATGTCATGCAGCAGGAGGATTTTTGCTTCTCCATCATATTTAAATATAAATCCTCGCTTGAAGGTGTTGGAGCTCATTTCTGGAAAGCCCATACGTTTCTCTTTGTTTATGTCTTTCCTGATGTTCAGGCACGCCAATCATTTACAAACAAATTACAGATTTCGTCTAGACTGCTGGAGTTTTTTTTCACCTCTGGACAAATAAGCCAGACTGCAGTGGTATTGATGCCCATGTGCTCAGTTAATTTTACACACATGGTGGCCAGAATAGCAACCCGTCATTGAAAATACCACAAAGACAGACAAAACAAAAACAAAACAAAGACCATTTTGAACTTGAGGGTCATGCTTTCCACTCTGATGCATCACTTTTTCTTTTGACAACACTTAAAGCATTTTAGTAACCGAGGAGATCAATTTCTGAAATCATGAAAGTGGAATGTTTTACCGTTCTTGTTTAATGTAGGATTCCAGCTGTTCAGAACGATCCGAGTTTCCTTTATCTCAGTTAACACTTCACAATGTGCCTCGCATTTTTTTAAATGATTGACAAGTCAGATCTGCAGGAAGGCCAGTTTCTCACCTTGACTCTTCTACCGCAGAGCCATGCTTTTGTAATGTGTGCAGAATGTGATTTGGCACTGTCTCACTAAAATAAGCAAAGCCTTTCCTGAAAATTAAGTCGTGTATTTAGCAGTTTATGCTGCTCCAAATCCTGTTTGGGGTAATGGGGTCTTCACATATGCCATGTGCACTTGTGCATCCCCCTACCATCATGGATGCTGGCTTTTGAACAATGCACTGATAACAAGCCAGAGGGTTCCTCTCCTCTGTAGTCAAGAGATCTTGGTATCTTAAATTGAATTAAAGGACAAGTTTGTGTTTTAAAATATAAAGCTGAATGATATTGATATTATATAACTTGCAGGGTGCAGTAATGCAAAGAAGATTAGCTCAGTGATAAACTCATGGAACAAGCTGAACACCAGTATAGGACATAACTTTTAGGGCAGGATCCCAAATGTTTATGAGATTGAGAGCTAGATATTCAAAGGCTGGCAGTGAGTGAGAAGCTGTCTGTTCCCAGCCAAGCTTAATGAGCCAGGGTAAATGGAACGCTCCTCTACATACAGAGTCGTTTCACTGTGGCATCATCTTGGCTCAACAAAAGTAATAGGAGGAGGGGAGGATCGGGGGGGGGGATTCACAAGCTACCCACTAACGATTTGGGAAGTCAATTTTTCTCTATACTGTCACATATGTCCCATT